TCGAATCTGATCCATTCATCATAACCACCGCAAGGGGAGGAAGGAGGCGCTACAGCTCGGCGAAGGTCCAGTAGCTTTCGACGTCACCCGCCACAATGCCGACCTGCTTGTCAACTTGGGCGGAAATGTTGTCCATGCCAGTTTTGATGCACTTCCCTAAACTGACGCCTGCAAGAACAACATGACGCTTTGGCGCGAAGAGATAACTTCATCACCATTTTCTGTGACACGACGCTTGAGCTGATCGTACAACGCCGGATTGCGTCGTAGGATTTCTGCGGTATAATTGTTGTGATCTCGGAGGTCAGGGAGGCGACCAATCCACTAGCAACAGTAGCAGATACGCAGATGCTGGAATCAGCTGAGCTCACCTTGTACGGAGGGAATGTCGCGCCCTTCTCGGGGCAATAGTATTCGTAGTTGCCAACGCCCTGTTGGATCCATTCATCAGCAGTTATGAATTGCTTGTGGAAATAGTGAGGAGGGTACCGCCTCGGGCTGGACACTATATAGATCAACAACCCAGTGCCTGATCACATATCAATGAGATCAGGAGGGATGCCTCTGAGCTACTAGAGCACGCTAGGGCCAAGGCGAGTCGATTAATGCCCGGTGCAGCGGCGGGGCCTGGTCGTAATACGGAAGGGTACTGAGGAGCTGCTGCTGTTGCTGTTGCTGAGGACATTTGCTGTATGGTCACAGAGCTATACGGAAGCCAGGCGGGTGTCTGTGATCGACGACGGCGTCTCAAGGAGTAGATCAGTGATCGTCATGAGGTTATACCGTCATCACGGAACTATTCAAAAACACAAATAGAGGTATAACATAGATATGCTGCATGGGATAAGATTAGCTCCCTCCCTCCCACCCGTAGTAGGTCCCATTCATCGGCCTATTTACAATAAGAGTGAGTAAAACTTTTATAACTGACCTCCTCCAGTACACAGCAATAACATCATCTCCCTGAAACTCTCAACTGCCGAAAGGCGCCACCCCCTTGTTGGTTAGTAGGCCGTATGCGGCATAGCAGCGGTTTAATCTTCCTTTCTGAATCTACTTGGAAAAAGAAGAGTACAACTGCGAACTGAACACGACGACAACATCGTGGCATTGACAGCCTCACATGACATGCTATTTGTTTCTAACACACATCGATACGTAAATAAACAACACATGTGCCTCCACTAGATGAAATTCACCAGGGAATATAATTTCGATTTAGCATTAAATGGGTATATACTATGAAAACACGAATGATTTCCGACACGTCTGCCCGCTATGATGGAGCTCCCACGATTTGATAAACATATGATATTGAAGTAGGTGATAAAGTTGAAAACTCCTTCATGGGTGATGATAGTACCCACGTGAAGAACTCATCCAATCGTCTTCGTTTAACCCACCTCTGTGAGCATGATGAATCTACTAAAGGTGTGGTCCATAAGTGACGATCACATACCCCCTTGGAGCCTCTGGTTCATCATAGTATATGGACAAACGTGGAAGACCATCATCTCCTTTGGTCACGTAATGCCGTGCCCTGACGAATATATCATCACCGATGTGTTTCTTTATGTGTTCGGTCTCAGCCTGGGTCTTCCCTTCGAATGTAATATACATCCCTCCCGCAGACCGCTGGGTAAAGCGAGAGTATGTGAACCTCATCGGTCCATATGTGGTGAGCAAGAGTGCAGTCCCGTCGAAGTACATCTTGATCTGTGGTACCTTAACATTATCCCCGACGAAGAGACAGTCAAGCATGCGGTGCTCATTGAAACCGGCACAGTCGCGTGGACGGTTTATCGCCTTCATGGACGGCTTATAGGTGGAGTCGTATATTAGATGTGTCAAGAATTTCGTACGATCTTGGTTGGGTACCAAAACCTCGAGAGTAGCTGTCCCATCCGCATCTAGCTGACAGGGGTGATAGTCGAGTACTGGTCCCCCGTTGATATTCAGTACTGCATTCGTCATCAAAGGGCGGCAATTCGGCATCGCTCTGATCCTGTCGAAGGCTTTTGCGGCCCAACTAAGATGGACTAAGGAGATTCCCTATCTTCCAGTGTTTCCCTTGACGAGGTGGTAAAGGTACCTTTTCACTGCCGAATTTACCGCTGAGAGTAGCCGTGCCTGCGCTCCTGACCAGGCTGTCCGATGATCCTCGGCAATCGGACAAGAAGTACCAACCTTTATTGCAGTATTAGAAACCATTTAACGAAATAGGAGATAGAATGTACACTCCTGGAAATAGTCGTGATACATTTTCAAGTTTGGACCGTAAAAAAGCGGGAACGCGTCGATGGGCGCGCGCTGATTTTGCTAGCGGAGCGAAGCACGCACATGAACTCCAGTGTAAATTTGACGTAGTGAGACGCCCCATTCGATCATCTAACCAGAGTTTCAGCATGCCCTTGGAGAGCA